TATATATAATATATATATATCTATATATATATATATATATATCTATATAGATATATATATATATAGTTTTTTAACGTATGGTATATATAATTATCTCTATATATATATATATATATATATTCTATAATATATATATCTCCAACTTAATTTGTTGCTGCTAGCGACTACTGATAATACTGCTAGAACATACTAAATAACTTAGTGATACATCGTTTTATGAAACCTCAGCGACGCAGAATAAGCACAGTTTTAAAAAAGTAAAACGTTAAAAGCACGATCCAAGCCTTCATCCAGGCAATGGTTTATCTTCTCTCTATTTGTTGAGAAAGCCTGTCTTGAAAAGCCCGCCTTTTTATCCAAAGCAGACCGATCGAGTTCGCCTAAGTCTGTCCCACAGAACTCATATATGTTCCTCTATATTGCAGCTCTTGGTCATAGGTCGCCCGTCTTGTATCAAGGAGACATTATGGGCCATTATCTTTCTTCTCTTTCAATCGATTCGGCTCATCTCTTTTTGAGGTACCGCATCTTCACCTTAAAAGATACCTCTCTCTCTCTACACGTCTGTTCCGCATTCTAAGGGTCTCCAGGCTATGCGGTATGCGGCTCTTTCTAGATCGCAATCAGTCCTACTATAGCCACTGACCCTTCAATATGTCTGGCCGAGTTAGAAAAAGAACAGAGCACTTATGGGTTACTACCCGTGTGTCATGATGTTGATACGTTGTTCAAACTTCAAACCTCAAACTTCAAAGTTTTTCGAGTTTTATGGCCACTACTTCAACCAGATCAGCGGCGTAGGCATAGGAACAAAGGTGGGTCTAGCTGTGTCTGGCTCTTCATGGCTATCACGAACCCAAGATGCTTCATGCATATACCGGTAGGATCCGTGAGCTCTATAGGAGGTATATTGATGACTGCATCGGTGTTTCCGATACACCCCATTCGGAACTGCAGGATTTATTGATGGGTTTTTTTCTTCAACTTCCAACATAGCATCTATTCCCTTTCAGCATTTCTCCATCGTCTGTATGTTCTCCTCCAGGTTACGCCCGGTGTTGGGAAAATGAGCAGGCAGATAGGCGGTTCAGTTTTCTGTACCACTTGGTGGTGAATTGATGTATCGACATGCTTGATATTGTGAGAGCCCTTTGTGAATCGACCGAAGTGAACAGTGTGTATCTGAGCAGACATAGATCATCGCGGTCTAAGGAAAATGGCGCTGCGAGCAGTTACTATCGATACGTGGCCGAACGCTCAAACACTCAGGGAGAAGGGATGAGACGGATATACAATTAAACCGCTACCGGTTTCCAACGGAATGGGAACTCTTTTCGCTGTGCTGCTGAAGATGGGAACGTGGGGGGGAGCACTATTTGGAGTATGCCGAGTGATGTGATGTCGGATTCTGTATTCAACTTAACCATTCATCGTCCCAGTGCATTTTATGGATCTCAATGTGCACCTTGGATTGTTAAAGGTCACAGCAGCTCTTGTAAATAGTAAGCCTGCTGATTACTATTATTTTTTTCTCTACTCATCCTCTCATCCCTCTTCAAGCTTGGACTCCATTCCTTTCGCACAGCTTCTACACCTCCGCGGATCCATGCCAGAATATCCCAGAGATTTAAAAAAAAAAAAAAAACGGGCTAAAACTGCATTTTATACAATTAAGACGTTTTATGAAGTACATCCTTTTTACTGGATGTTAGGAAAAGAATTCTCGCATGCAAGATTTAAACCAGTTTAACATGTGGCTGATTATCATTTGACACGTATAAACAAGTAAAACAACTTAAGGAGCCTCCGAGATGTGTTTTCACAGAATCTTCCTTAGAATTCCACGAACAGCCAAAAAAGAGCACTTAGGTGTTTTGACAAAGGCTATGGCTAGAAAAAAATTAATCACAAACATCGGCAAGAGAGATTCATCATTTTTAGTCACGTTATAACAAGAACAAAACTATAAATGTTGTGACCACTGGAAAGACTTGACAGCCCTTTGTCATGGTATAGAGTCGTAATCAAAAAACCGAAAACGCTCCTTTGAAAATCCGTTTGAAGTAGAGAGTTGTCACCGCCTACGCCAGTCGGCAAGGCATTTGATGATAATGATATACAAGCTCCGACAATAAAGTAATGTGACTAATTCCATAAAAATTAAAGTAATCAACGGTTGAAGATATAATCTGTATTTTATTCAAAGTAAGCTCCTTGGTCATTTGTACAGCAAGTAGCACGATCTAACAAACACTGGAACGACCTCTGTAGTTCTTCTCTTGTTATGACCCTTAAAGTCTATGTTACGGCCCTTTGGATGTCATCAATATCGTCAAAGATATTTAATTTATTTATTTAACTTAAGGAATAGAAAGTAATCACGGGAAGACAAATCTAGGGAATAGGGTGGAAGGCTGAGAACACACATTTCTTTTTGAGCAAAAAAATCTATTTTTGATGATTTCTCATAGGCTTTGTGCTATGGAGAGGGCTAATCAAGATAGCAATGAGATGAAGGAGCAAATGATCGCAGAAAGGATCAGAGCTGAGCATCTGAGAAGAACTACAGTAAATACACATGATGGCAACAACGATCCCGAAATCCATTGCTTTAATTGCGGAAGATTAAAATTAATTATGTTCTATTAAAAGACACCTAATTTGAATCACAGCTCTGCTTGAAGATATAGGGCAAAATAGATTCATGGTGAGGGGTATGTCTCCCTCCCCTTCCTCCCCCCCACACACACACACTAACCACCCCCCCTCCCCCCGACCACCCCGTATGCAATCTATTTTTGATAAAAGTTAGTTGCGTATCCTTAACAGGACTTTGCAGAACCAACTCCAGTGTGGTTTGGCTAATGTGGTCTTTTATGGCGAATTTTCCGTTCAGTAGTTTGCCTTCGCTCGTCCGCAGCTGGGGTCGAGCCCGGCATCCCCGTGTAATGACAACGCAATTTTTTTTTTAAATAGGCATCTCAAAATGAATACAAGGAAATTATAAGGCAAGTAAAGTCTGACACATAATTTTGACATATTCCAGCTAGTCGTAGGGGCGTGGGGGACTAGATACCTAGTAGAAATAGAAGACATACCTATAATCAGTGTGCTAGTGGCATCATCAGAACGTTGGTCAAGCTGCTGAAGATGGAACGGGATGCTTGTGTGAAAGTTATCCGCTGTGATGTCCGTTCTTTACTAACATCATCTGAAACTAATATATTTAAATACGAGCGAAATTGACTATCTGGGTCAGCGAAGTGTTTTTATGTGAGCAACTGCTACAGATCATAAAAGATTACTAGAAAGCTCAACGGGGGTAATGAAAAAGACGTGTTAAAGTAAAACCCAACGTTTCGTTCAAAGTCCTTATCAACGGATTACTAACTAATAACACTATGACTGGAAAACTCAACGGACAAGACAACAGACCTTCTAAAAGGCCAAAGTAAAAAAAAAAAAACAAGAAATACGTAAATGGGGTGGGATATATATAACCCATCAAGTTTGTTCAGGTTATCAGTCTATGAGTCCGGGTTCCAATTTTATCGCAAACGAGTCAACACACAATATTTCTCTTCCGGTGGAAGTAATAACACACACAAAATGCCCTTTGCTGTTTGATGGGAGGTCCCAGAAAACTCCAACAGCTCGTATACACATCATTGCATAAGGCATTCCCAAGGTGCCAGCACTCACATTCTATCAGTAGAATAGCGTCCAATAGCAGTGACAATAAATCACCAGAGGCACACACATTGTTACAAAAAGCACATAGTCAGTTCTGTGGCAACCAGGTAGGTGGAATTATCTGAATATGCAAATTACGACAAACATCTCTGGGAATACTAGACAATCATCATCACCCCTCCCCCTTTCTTATGAAATTACCAGCTCACAGTGACACACCATGCACACAAGCCAAATGACACTTGCCCCGTGAAGTGAGGCATTTCACCCTAAATTTTGCTATTTGTTATAGAAGAACTATGTTTTTAGTTGTGTTTATAGGAGTGTATGACATAAATACGCTAAGTTAAGCTTTTGCAATAAAACTAATGTGTGATTCAACACAATTAATCACGTGCTGTCTTCACAGTCCTGCCCGAAATAAAAAATAAGTACAATTTCAGGAAGAAAGTGCCGCCGGCGTGCTGTTGATCGCATCACACACAGAGTGCTGATCGGTTTATAAATTATAGGTCTAGCGATATGTGTACAATAAGCTTGAAGGCGGGAGAAAAGTTCTTAAGTCTTTACATTGAATATTGAACGCCAGTCAGCAAGGCACTTTACCTGATATAGACATACTCTTTAACTGTCTTTCATGTTTCGGAAGCAGTAATTGTGACATTTGTTTAAAAGAAACAGGTGTTGTTAAATTTGAATCCTCATTGCAGCGGATGTTCATAAACTGACACCGGGCTTATAAGATCAAGCATAAAAAGTGAATCAGAAAATGTACCGGAAAGAAATAGTAAACCGATTGGACTACAATACTTTGCACCAGGCACCATATGCATGAGATAGCGACAATGAATTCCAGAGAAATTTGACTAAAGAGCTCAACAAAATGGGAAAGAGGAAAACGTGCACAAAACAACACAACGTAACGTTTCGGCCGGGCAGCCTTTTCAAACACAAGTGAAAGACAACAAACGAGGAATGGAGCGATAGGCAGATCTCTAAGGGGTGATCGTGAGCGACTTTAAAAAAAAGGTGATTCGGAAAAAATGAAATAAAATAAAATAAACGATGGCTAAAAAATATAGTCAACAATACTGCGAATAAAAAGACTTGGCAAGTGTTTAATGTTATACATTAAATGATACTGATAAGAAATAGAATAAGGTAATAATATGAAAAAAAATAAAATAATTAGAGATAGCGACAGTATGTGGTAATTTATTTAATTTACTTGTTTCAGATGGGCTGTCATCAAAGAAGAGAATCTGCTTGCTTTCGACCCTAAACTGATCAATCTGCCCTTGCAAAAC